AAATTAGAACATATTGGAATTCGAGTTGGATTTAAATGCTACATGGAGAATTAGATTTCTAAGTTTTAGAGGTATTTAATGGATAATAATTAGTTTAAGTAAGTGTATGAGAGCTAAGAGTAGTAAAGGGATTGAAATATGTATGTTTGAGTTGAAATTAGATGATTTTCGGGCTAAAAATAGGATTTCTGGGTTAGGGGAATCGGTACCCATTCAAGGGGAACCGATACCCCTTCAACGAATATGATTTCCAGAATGCTAGAGGGAATCGGTACCCCAGGGGGGGAACCGATACCCCCTCATCGTATATGAATTCCAGATTGCTTAAGGGGAATCGATACCCCAGGGGGGAACCGATTCCCCCATGAGAAAAAGAAGAAGAAAGAAAGAAAGCAAGACTAAGCTATTAATTCTTTTAATTAGTATTAAAGCTTAATTTCAAGACACAGACGTCTGATGATCATCTTAAAAAAATTATGTTTATGTAGATACCGAGCCTACTCGAGTTCGGGAACAATCTACAAGTAGGATCGATCGAGGAAAAGGCAAAGAAGTATAGGTGAGTGCATATGCATAGCATGAATACAGTAGTATATTCAGTTCTAGACTTGTGATAAGTCTAGATTCCATATTTTGACACATGATTACATTCCATATTATGATACATGACATGAATTTGTATTAAATGTATTACATGACATGAATTCATCTTATATGTATTACATGACATGAATATGCAGAAAAGTTCTATGCACTATGTGATAAAAGTATGTAAATGATATGCCTATGTGTTAAAGGTATGGAATACTATGTCTACGCGATATGAACTACGGGAAATGTATAAGCCCATGTTATGTAGATGAGAACTCTAGGTATAGTTGGCATGCCAAGGGTAGAGGGTATACTCGGTTCTTTAGGACATATGTATATCCTTTGGAACCTGTGTGAAGTCTCGAAAGACACATACTTGATCCATAGTATATGTATATGATTCTTAAAGGATTCTACGTGGTCCTTATGGACAAAATTCTACGGCACTTCGGTGCAATTCTACGGGCCTTCGGTGCAATTCTACGGGCACTTCGGTGCATTTATACGAGCTGTGGTGACAGCATAGTGCACAACCTCACATTACTCAAATACCTTAGGTTCTCAATATGCTATCATGGGCCAATAAACTTATTAATACTGAATAATGAATGTTACAGTCATACGCTTACAGGTATGGATATTGTTAAAGTATACTACATTGATTAGTTACATGTTTGCATCTCATCTCATATGATCCTGACATATTCAGTACAATACATTGCCTTATATTGTTGCCTCACTAAGTCGATGACTTAGCGTGTGAGTGTTTCACACGTAGGATCCGAGGAAAATAGAAGAGACAGGTGAAGCAGCTTGACAGTATTACTCCTACAACCATCAGATCAGAAGCAACTTATCAGTAGGTTATTTTGTTATGTAAATAGCAGTTGGCATGTAATTAAAGAGTTAAGTTGTGTATGCTCTGAATATTTTTGTAAACTTATATTACAGTATGTATATTATTGTATTTTCTTAATACAAGTCCCAATATTTTACTATTATTTATTAAGAGTGTGTTTTAAAGTCAATGTAGTATCTCTGACTCATATCCGGGTCGGGTATGGGTTGGGGGTGTTACACATACCGACTAATGTTACAAGATCTTTATCGTCGAGGCCTTTTGCTGCAAATTTTTGCCTTTGAGCAGCAATGGAACCAAGTGGAGACGGTAAACTTGAGGCTTGTGATGATGAAGAAACCCTGCCATCCCTTCTTCCGGTTGGAACGGTCCAACTTGGACCATCAATCTGAAATGGAATCAAATTAATGAAAATCTCATGTCGATGTATGTTTGTGCGTACGAGCTCGGGTTTATTGTTAGTAGAGAAAGAAAGAAAGCAACCAAGTCAACCGCGTCCCGAGCTGCCAATGCTAGGATGTCAGCACACGAGACTACTCCAGGGCATAGAGATTCCAGCTGCGTTTTTGCATCGTCAATAACTTTGAATCCTCGAAGTCCAAGGTTTGGCAATGCACTTCTCTCGCTGGAAGAGCCGGAGATCAACACCGAGCTGTCACATCCCTGCACGGAAGTCATGTGATCAGTAACACTTCCACCACAATAAATCAGGAAGAAGAAGAGAGTGACCTGAACAAAACAGTCATGGAAATGAAGCCTAAGCAAGCCAGCTGCAACGGGAGGATCATTGTTGAAGTGAGATTCAACTATGGATCTTACAACAGCTTCAGCCTTTGGACATGAAGAAGAATAAAATCCATTCTGCAAACCTGATCCCTGCCCCTCAACTAAAGAAAACATCACCAAGTACTTCGCTACAGAAACCAACCAAAACCTCCCATTTTCAAAACCTGTGCTAAACAAAACCAAATTCGAGCATTATATATGCACAATGGGATTTGCTTAAGTTGCATTATTGGCCTGTCTTTTCGTCGAAATTCGGGCTACTCTTTGTAGTGGAATACGTGGAACCATTTGTGATAGAAATGCTTTCTCTTTTGAAATAATTAATGCATTAACAAGTGGATCAAAGTGGAACTGGGGAGGTGCAAGAACTGTGCATATAAGAAAGGAATTGATAACGTTAGACGCCTTTCTTATCATTTGATCAACACGTTTTTGTTGTTGTTTTTACTTGTTAATGTTGAAAATTGAGAATGTCCAATTGGAATACATTCACGCTCTACATTGACATCATGGAGGCTAAATTCTGAACTAGGTCCATGTCCTCTTTTATCTTCCATTTTCTTCATCAACTGCTGCAACTCCTAATGTATTATATCAGCTCTGATTCTGGGTGGTAAACATCTTATGTTCCAAACCAATTTGATTGTTGTTACCTTCAGATTATCAACCGTGCAGCATTGAGGGGCTTCCAATTCACAAGGCTGCTCAACAATTCGTTTCCCATCTTTACCTGCTGCTGGATCCTGCATCCATCTAGCAAAGCTCTCAAATCATCTGGCACTATTTTCAATCTGGTGTTCCTTGTTATAGTTGCGTGCCTCATCGAAGAGTCTATCACGAGCTAGAAGGGCTACCAGCAGAACACATTGTGTAACTGTAGGTGTCTTAATGCGATTGAAGAATGACATTCCTACATCAACACTTCAAGCTGTCACACAAGCATGGAGAACTGCAGCATGTCATATTTCTAAGCTGGAGTTTTTCTCCATCTCCAAAACAAACCTAGTCCAGTGTCATGTCTTCATGAGGTGGAGGATATAAATCCCACGTTAGAAAAGAAAAGAGAAGGCCTGAAATTTATAAGAGATGGTAATTTCATATTCTATGAATTTGATTTTTGAGAGAGAATGTCATGCCTCGAAGTGGTGGAGATATAAATCCAATTACACAAAGTATAGTTGTCAATTTTTCACTCGTTAATATTTTTTTTATGATTTGATGATTAAAATAATAATTAATTCTTGAATTTTTATAAATTATTTTAATTTGTTTTACTATATTATTCTTTAAATTTGTTAGTGCAATATCGAAGGTGCAATATTATAAAATTTATCATACTAATCTTAAGGAAATCAGTTACTTTTCAACATTACATATTCGAAAAACAGGAACACAAACCAACAGGATAAATGATTAATTAAAATAAACATTTGAACATAAATTTATGATTATACCAAAACGTAGCTTCAAGTTATATAGGATTTACATGTGTTTGCATCTAGGCCTTGCATTACAAAAGCTAAAATGTAGTAAGAAAAAAAAAACTAAACCCCAAAAAAAAAAAAGATTCATTTTCAAGCATAATTCACCTATATTACCACAATTCAACTACTTGGCAGCTTGTTCAAGAACAGGACTCATTTTCCATGCCTCGTCCAATCCGCTTATTTGCAGTGGAGGCAACGAGAAAACGCTAACAGTTGAGCTTCCACTCCGAATTTCCTTCAATACCCGCAATGCTGATATTGTGCTTTTCATGTATAAGCTCCCCACATTCTTTGCTTCACCGGAAGCTGGTTTTTCGTTCTTGGGGAAGATGTGTTCCAGCATCGCCTCGCACTCCTTCACGAGCTTGTGAAGCAAGTCCGTGGTGTAAAAGGGCTGTCGCAACACCCTTTGAATGAAAGGCAACCGGATCAAAGCACCAGTTTCTTTTGTCATACTTCTTCAGTATTTTCACCAACCCTGTTCATAGCATATTGAGTTACTGATCTAATCCATTTGATGCAGTAAGGGCATTTTAAAAGCATTAACGTCAAAAAATCCAGGGGATCTTCACGCAAATTCTATTAGATAATGAAATCAGTTTCCAGGAGATCATGGTGCAATTCTGCACCGCCCAGCAGTATTCAGTACAACTCTAATTATCTCGTCTATAACTCTTTTACCAAATGGTTTTTCTCAAATAACCCTAACAATTTGGAGAAAGTCAGACCATACTGGCATAAATCTATAATAGTGGCGGCACATGGTGAAGCAAATGCTCCCAGTACAGTCAAATGGGTCTTTTAAAGAAGTGATGAACATTTCATGTTTGATTAAAGAATGGATGTGAATAAGTTGTCCGGCAAAGTATGGATGTCAGAAGGAATGCATACAACTGTTCTACAGGAGTTTCCCAGCAGCTACAAATCTAATATTTTCCCTCAACAACTCATCCGGCCTGCTAAAACCGTGTACTACTGTTTTGAATAAATCACTAGTATTCGACTAGTATTCAATTTATTAAGCGACTAATTCATATCGAATTTTACACTATTATGGAAACTACCTATAAACTCAATTTACTAAATTCACAATCGTCAAGATTTGAACCTTTATTTACTTAAGTTTAATGGTTATGGGTAAATTCATGTACCACTAATCATGTAAAACATTGAAACAAAGCAAGTGGCATATATATATTTGATTGAAGTATTAAACAGAGGAAGAGATTAAAAAAAAGGTGAAATACCTGTGTAGTTAAGGGCGCTATAATTTCTAATAGAACCATCTCGCCATGGAAGTCGACTATCTCCCTCCAAATCTTTATCATCTTTTCATTAGAATCCTTTGCCTTTGCCACGTTATCTTGTAATTCCTGCATCCCAAGTTCCCAGTCCAAAATAACTCATAAAACAAGCATACAAAATTTACACAATAGAAAATCCATAGTTATGTCTTGAACTTAGAATCTTTACATAGCAATTAGAATGTAAAAACCAACGTCGTTTCGTTTTGGTTCTAGTAATGAATTTTGCATCCCTGTTTGTTTATCGGGAAAGCAGGAGAAAAGAAAAACAAAAAACAAAAAAATGCCGCCAATAAAACAGATCGAAATCAAATCAGAGTTGGAATTACCTTCAATCTAATGATGTATTCTTCCTCTTTCTCAACAAAAAACGTGTTGAATTTCTCGAGCTCATCTTCCAACAGCTTAAGAAAATGGGTCTCCTCTCTGGACATAACGTCTCCATCACCGGAGTTATCCACGGCATCCACCACGTCACCAGAATTTTCATCCAACTTACGCCGTTTATTCGGCCTCTCATCGGAATTACGTTCAATGAGCTTTACTTTCTTCTTAAGCTCCTTATAAGAAAGGAATTTGTCCCGCCATTCAGGCAACGTATCCTCGATCTGGTTACTAAGGCTCTTCCCAAATTTCATAGCGAAAACTCCTTATTGCTTGAATCTTAACGGCTGGAGAGAACAACGACAGAACGGAACGGGGGTGGTGGAGGGAGAATAAGGGGTAAATATAACAGGAAATTGAAGAATATTCGGAGGGAAGCGGTGCGAATTTAGAATATCTTTATTTTTTATTATTAAATATTTTGGATTTTCTAAATTCTTTCGAAAGAGTACCTTTTTACTTTGTCTATTTATTTTTATCAAAAAAAAATATTTTATCCATTATGTTATTTTGAAACGTTTCAAATATTGACACGTGGACATTTTACTGTGGGACTTCTGGAGAGGCGTAGCTTAAGAAAGCCTTGCTTGTACTACTGGCACTTGAAAGTTAGGATACAACTTTATTGGACTAAATAAGTTAATAAAAATAATTTAATTACATATTTGATCTTTACTTGAGATTAACATTTTAATATAATCAGTATTTTCGTTATATAGTTTAATGACTATACATACTTGTAGTTTATCCAAACTAATATTTACTTATTATTATTTTTATAATAGTCTAAAAATATTAAGACAGTTTTCAGTGCGAAGCTTCCCAAGTATCTTCAAGAGCACAGCCACAAAGCCCAGCCCAAGTAGGGGACTTTTTTTGTTTGTCACGTATAATTTGAGACTTGGTATAATTCCAAAGCATTTGGAATATCCATTCCCTTTCACCTCATCAAAAATTAAAGAAAGACTGGTTCTGCAATTAAACCAAAATAAGTGTTGTGTCACCCTCTCTCTTTCTCTAGAAACTAGCAGAGAAGTCAAAAAAAGGGTAACTTTGGTATTTAGTCCTTAAAGTAAGGTTGAACATGGAATTTCCCATTTACACAAGTTGCTAATCTTGCCGGGACAATATTAAAATGAAATAATAATAATAATAATAAAAATAATAAAGCAGCATATTCTATTTTGGTCCCTTTGTGCCCACCACCCACCCCACCCCAAAGATCTTTTTGCACTTTTGAAAACTAGCAATGCATCCTATGCACAATATAAGGAGTATTCCATATAAGGAAAAAATACAATTATTAAACATAAAAAATATATTTATATCAATAAAAATTTTTTGCCTTCCAAGTCAAGATATCCTTTGCTTATATAAAGAATATTAATTTCCTTATGAATAGTTCACCAATTACTATTTAATAAATAAATAAACACGAATAAAAATGTGTTGATTCGTTTATGTTCATGATAAAGCCAATGAATCGAATGAATAAACAAAAACCAAATGCTCAGTAGGAGCACTATAATAGCAATAATTATTGCTTTGGTGCTTTATTTTAATCATCCAACCTAAAAGAAGTGTGAGAAGCATCCTTCTATAGTGAAATGGGATGGACCATTGAAAGTGAAGCCCTTGTGGGATGGGCCATTGAAAATGAAGCCTCAAGCCTCCTCTATATCCAATGAAACAACGCAACATTTAAGACCAACCAAATACTTTGACTTATCTCAATACAGATATTAAAATAATAATTAATAACTGTATTTTTCAGAAAATAATTGGGCTTCGACTTGAAAAATGTAGATTGGAGTCGCCACCGATCATTTATTTAAAACAAATGGGTTGATCGGATACCCTATTTCTTACCTGATCTGCGTTTTCCAAAGATGTGTCGGGTTCGGGAGTCGATTACGGTCAAGGAAGGATCAGCACACTTGAACCGTCCTTTCGGTACTACGTAATTTCCAGTTGTCTTTGATTAATAAAATTGCAAGTTAAATTAAAAGGTAAAATTTGATCCGAATTAGTTACCCTTAATGAGTTTACGGAAATACCCTTAAAATAAGATTTTAAAAGAAAATAATAATAATAAAGAAAATAACAAAACTAAAGAGTAAACCAATGGAATAAATTAAATCAATAATAAACATAAAATAATTGGATGAAAAAAATGAAATTGAATAAAATAAAATAAATGAATATAAAATATATATACAAAAATAATAAAAAAGGTAAAGTGTTTTTTTAAAAAAAGAAAAAAATAATAAGAGCAAAGAAACTAAAATATAATGAAATAATAAATAGTATAATAAAATAATAAAAATATATATAAAATATAAAATTTATGTATAATATAATAAAATACTAAATAGTAATAATAATAAATAATAATGAAAAATAAATAATATAATATTAAATAAAAAATAGTAATCATAGAAATATAAAAAAATAAGAATATATATATATAACGTTAGGAAAATATAGTAAAAAAATATAGTAAATAAGTAAACATAGATAAAATAATAATAATAATATATATATATATAATAATAGGAAAATAATATAAAATAATGCAAAGAAAAATGAAAAAAATTATAATAAATAAATAAAAAAAATAATTAAAATATACATATACATATAATAATAAAAATAAATTAAAATAAAAAATGAATTAGGGTTCAAAATTAAAAGCCAATCGAAGAAAAAAACGATAAAACACGCGGATCCACACGACCCGTTTATAAAAATCCGAATAGTTTTTAAAAACACAAGCCTCGGAGACTAGATCTACAAAAATAGATCTCAAAAATGCCCCGTTCATCGGCCAAAAACACTTCTCTCAGTTTTCTTTCGAAATCAAAACACAGCAAGGGTAAGGAAAAATAACATGCGAATGTATGAACTTTACCTTTTAAAATATAAATGCTTCAAAAAATGGCTACGAGTTGTTTGTAATTTTTTGTTTGGTATTCCGTATATCCTCCTCCGAATGTGTTACAATAGTGAGTTACAATGACTATTTATAATGCTTGTGGATCCTATCTTTAGGAGTTTAAATAATAGTAGAACTCTATCCTATTTTTAGGAGTTTAAATCCTAACAAAATTATATCCTATTTTTAGGAGTTTAAATTTTAACAAAATTATATTCTATTTTTAAGAGTTTGAATCCTAGTATGACGAAAAGGTATGTTGACACTTGGTAATACGGTACACCATCCATCAAATCTACAGCTTCCTACACATAAGTGATAAATACTCATTAGTGTTACATTAATATTATACGGAGAATTAGATCTAGACATCCGAACTTGTTTTTTTTTTTTTTTTTTGAATAAAAAGAGAAGACAAACGAACTAGATGGCCACATTGAAATATCAGCATGGAGTGTAGCGTTGCACTCTTCAGGAGGATCGTGGAAGATAACGTACTCATGTGGAAGAGTCCACGCCAAGTGAGCCAAGGTATCCGCTACTTTGTTACACTTCCGGGGAACATGACGAAGCAAAACAGACCAATCGCGTTGCAGGAGTTCATGGACGTGAGGGATTAACGACGAAACACCCCTTTAAGCTCCTCTCTTGCTAAGCAAAGTTATATCTTTGCTGTCCGATTCAACTAAAATCCTCCGCAAACCTGTATCCCAAGTTAGACGCAGCCCTTCGTAAAGACCCCAGAGTTCCGCGTCCAGGATTGAACAACTCCCAACAATTTTAGCCAACCCCACGAACCACGAACCGGCTGAATCTCCGATAATTCCGCTACAGGAAGCAAAACCAAGTCTGTTTCCGAGCACCATCCGTGTTCAACTTGTAGACACCATCAGGAGGCAGTTCCCAGTCTCATTCCTGTCAACACGAGCAGAAGAACTCACCACAGTATGGGCCTTTGAATCGTACATCCGTTCTGTCGACCAATACATACGCCAACACTCCTGCAAAACATTGTCCATAGGTGTGAAATCCTGGTCAAAAACCAATTTATTCCTCCTCTTCCACAAGCACCAAAGAATGACCCAAAAAACAAATCCCAATCAACGGATACATTGAAAAATAATAGAGGAGCGAATATTCTTCGCGATCCACGGCACCAATTCCAACCGATCGAATTCATCAAGCACCCCGTCTTAATCAGATTACCCCAAACTGCTCGAGCAATCACACAATCCCTGAAGATATGAGAGACAGATTCAACAGTAGCTCCACAAATAGAGCAGGCCGAATGATTCGCCATGTGCCGTCGCGCCCGCTCCTCATTTGAAAGAAGTTTATTCTTACAAATGAGCCATAGCAAGGATTTAACTCGAGGTAAACCCTTATAACTCGCCAGCAAGCTCCAAATGGACCCTACTGCATGTTCAACAGGAGGAGAACACCGAGCGTAAGCACTCTTCGTCGAAAATTGGCGATGCTTATCCCACTTCCACCCTGGAATATCCGACCCACAATTTTGAAGAAACAATCATATGAAAACCATACATTTGCTTCAGTTAATCTTTAATTGTCTGACCCAAAATTTTGAACTAAAAGTGAGGTATTTGCTTCCGGGGTAGTGCAAGGTGATCATTTTCTGCAATTACAGGTTTTAAAATTGGTAGACCTCATGTCAGATACCTTGGTCTTCCTCTGGTTTACCAGGATGCAGCCAATATTGTAATTATATGATTCAATTTCTGTCTCACAAACACCATTTGCTCGTAAACTTATAATTATGATCTATCATATATCATTGATATATATACAGTCATATATATTCGCCCATAATTAGGATCGATGGTCTATCACTAAAGAAATAAGTCTCCCCTTCTGGCACACCAAACGACGAACAGTTCCTATGAAACAGGTCCTCTATCATTTGCATTGCAATTCTCTCTCTTCATCAATCTGATCTCCTCTCAGTTCAATAGTCTCTGTCTCCGCTTCTGCCCGATTTTGCCGCACGCCGATATGGGAATTATCGGTGTGAAGCCTTAGACAAGTGATGGAAGGAGATGGCGCCTTGCTGCATTTTGTAAGCGTGGCATGGAGAAGTTGAGATAGCTCATTTGGAGGTGACGAATGGGAAGAACTTCCGAGACCTAGGGGTGTATTCGGTTCGGTTTGGTTCGGTTTTTTACCAAAAACCGAACCGAATCGAAATAAACGGTTTTTCAATATTTAAACCGAAACCGAAACCGAATAATTAAAAAACCGAAAAAATCGAAACCGGTTTTTTCGGTTCGGTTCGGGTTTTTTAACGGTTCGGGTTTTTCAGTTCGGTTCGGTTTTTCGGTTTTTCAATGAAAAAAATCACTTGAAACTATAATTTTTTTTAAAAAATTGCCTATTCGGTTCAATATGGAACAAATGAGTTCCATAT